TCCTTCCTTCCTTCCTTCCTTCCTTCCTTCCTTCCCTCCTTCCTTTCCTCGCTCCCTCCCTCCTGAGAGAAGGGCTGGCCCAAGGTAATCCAACTGGTTTTGTGTCCAAGGCAGGACTAGAACTCCTTCCTTCCTTCCTTCCTTCCTTCCTTCTTCCCTCCCTCCCTCCCTCCCTCCCTCTTGAGAGAAGGGCTGGCCCAAGGTAATCCAACTGGTTTTGTGTCCAAGGCAGGACTAGAACTCACCGTCACCCAGGTTCTAGTCCGACACCTACACCAAACTGGCTTTCTAGGTTTGGAATTAATGTTGTAGGGAACCTGACATGTGGTTTATTCAATAAAATGTGATCAGTTGACTTAGTCTAACAGACAAGCTGGAGCAGCGGTTAAGAAGGGTCGGTATGAAACACCCAGCCCAAAGTTGGCAGAACGAAGGCAGCAGAGAGACGCGAAGAACAGCCTTGCATGTTTTCCATCCTTTTTATTAAAGAATGGAAGGTTGCCTTCCAGATCCATTGGATTTTTCCAGGCAGAGTTCTAGATGGTGACGGTTACCACTGCTTTCCCAATGTAGCTAGTTGTAGATGCAGAGATGAAGAGAACTAAGACATTATAGGAAGGCATATCTTGGGTAGTTCTCCAGACATTATTGGGTTTATTTCTCCTAGACCAGGGGTAGGCAACCTTGGCTCTTTTATGACTCGTGGACTTCAGCTCCCAGAATTCCTGAGCCAGCACAGCTCAGCATGGAAACCTCTCCCTTTCCCCTCAGCATGGCTGGCTCAGGAATTCTGGGAGTTGAAGTCCACGAGTCATAAAAGAGCCAAGGTTGCCTACCCCTGTCCTAGACTTCCCTGGTCTTCTTCCGAGTAGCTGAGATAGGTTCCACCTAAATTCTGGGGTGAAACGGGAGGTCCGTTTCAGGAGGAGGACTCGTGTGTAGAATTTCACTCCATACCGGAGAGTTTACACCTCTTCAGCTGGAGAAAGCCATGGTGGAAACCAAAAAGAAGAACAAACCTACACCTCTTTCTGGAGAACCATTCTGTAGAGCGATCTTTTAGGAGGCAAGGGAAGACTGGACCCTTGTTCAAAATGTCTCGAGAACGCTTGCCATTTCCTTGAACTGGCTGTGGAAATTCTAAAGGGAGAAAAAAAAACCAAAAGAGAAATCAACAGGCACCAACAAGGGTTGGTGTGCTCACGCTGAAAAATCTCCCTCTAGAGACACAATGTGCTCCACAGCACGCCACACATGCACGCATGGACAACACATCCCTCATTTCTTTTCAAGCCTGCTGCCTCTCAGCTAACCAAGGGCTGAGTTAGACCTGCATCACGGCTGCCAGCAGTTCGGCAGTTCGAATCTCACCGGCTCAAGGTTGACTCAGCCTTCCATCCTTCCGAGGTCGGTAAAATGAGGACCCAGATTGTTGGGGGGCAATGTGTTGACTCTTTAAACTGCTTAGAGAGGGCTGTAAAGCACTGTGAAGCAGTATATAAGTCTAATTGTTATCCTTCCTTCCTTCCCTTCCAGTGGTTAGAATGCAGTATTGCAGGCTAACTGTGCCCACCACCAGCAGTTCGATCCTGAATGGCTCAAGGTTGACTCAGCCTTCCATCCTTCCGAGGTTGGTAAAATGAGGACCCAGATTGTTGGGAGTAATGCACTGAGTCTGTAAACCGCTTAGAGAGGGCTGTAAACCACTGTGAAATGGCATATAAGTCTAACTGCTATTGCTATCCCTTCCTTCCTTCCTTCCTAGTGGTTGGAATGGAGTATTGCAGGCTAACTCTGCCCACTGCCAGCAGTTCAATCCTGAACGGCTCAAGGTTGACTTAGCCTTCCATCCTTTTGAGGTCAGTAAAATGAGGACCCAAATTGTTGGGGGCAATAGGTCAACTCTGTAAACTGCTTAGAGAGGGCTGTAAACTACTGTGAAGCGGTATATAAGTCTTAGTGCTATTGCTATCATTAGCATGTTCATCTTTAACTCAAAGCACCACATTGTAAACACTAACACAACTGGCTTCAGTGCTAGCAACAGCCAGTGAAACAGCTGGAAAGCAAAGGGAAACAAATGCATATAAAGGTTTACCACCACCCCTCCCACACACACACAGACAGACAAAGACTATGTTCCAATGAATTCCTAGTGTACACAAAATATCATGTCCGCACAGCACAATTAAGACACCTTGTGTGATTTTTTTTCAATCTCTTGATATTGGACAGACTGAATAAATCTGATTTGGTAACTATTCCTGGTATTGGATGGTGGGCCACCAGGAATCCGCATGTAATTCAACTGTGACTAAAAAGTGCATTTCTGAAAGAATTCAAGTTCCACTGTAGCTGAAAAACTGCCAGGGGAAACAAAAAGACCCAGGCTACACAGGTGACAAAACTACCATTTGAGTCCCATTGGTTGACATCCACTTATTCTGAAATCCTTAATTTAATGCAGAATCTTCATTTCACCTGCACCATTTCAAACGTTCAAATCACCAGGCCACGTTTTAATCCTCTTCGCCCATTGTCTTCTGTTCTGAGGATGAGCTGCTACAGAAGCCAACCAGCAGAAGCCCTGTCTGCTACAAAGCGTGAAAACTACACAACGGGGCACGTTTTTCAAAAAAGGGCAAAGACCAGGAAAGGCTGTTTACAAACCTGAAACTGAGAGACTGTCATTTCAAACGTTTTGCACGTGACGTTCCCCAAACCGTCAGCAACTTTGAGCGCCACCGTCACACAAGGCAATTTCAAGGATTTGCAGCTATCGGCACTAATGGCCATTCCCAGCTTCCACTGAAAATCAATAAGCTGCAAAACAAGAAATGAATATTTGGGGTATTCGCAGCTGAGTCAGCATCTTCGGGGGAAGGGAGGGAGGGAGGGAGGGAGGGAGGAAGGAAGGAAGGAAGGAAGGAGAAAGAATTGATGGAAGGAAGGGAGGGAGGAAAGATGGGAGGAAGGAAGGGAGGAAGATAGGAGAAAGGATGGAAGGAAGGAAAGAAGGAAGGAAGGAAGATAGAATGGATGGAAGGAAGGAGAAAGGATGGAAGGAAGGAAGATAGGAGAAAGAATGGATGGAAGGGAGGAAGGAAGGAAAGGAGGAAGGATGGAAGGAAGATAGGAGAAAGGATGGAAGGAAGGAAGATAAAATGGATGGAAGGGAGGAAGGATGGAAGGAAGGAAGGGAGGAAGGAAGGAAGAAAGGATGGAAGGAAGGGAGGAAGGAGGGAAGGAAGGAAGATAGGAGAAAGGATGGATGGATGGAAGGAAGGAAGGATGGAATGAAGGATGGATGGAAGGAAAGAAGGAAGGAAGATAGGAGAAAGGATGGAAGGAAGGAAGATAGGTGAATGGAAGGAAGGAAGGGAGGAAGGAAGGATGGAAAGAAGGAAGGAAGGAAGATAGAAGAAAAGATGGATGGATGGATGGAAGGGAGGGAGGGAGGAAGGAAGGAAGGAAGGAAAGGAAGTACAATAAAGGTGTCCTTTATTGTCTGGGGACATCTGTCAAACAGTCATCCTGAAGGACATTTCAGGTGAGCCGTGAAAGGCAAAATTCATGCTGGCTCTACCTGGCCCCGACCCCGATGCTTTTTCAAGCCATGTGACTCGAAGTGGTAATACCTCCTCAGCCTCAGAGCTTATCCGAGGACTTGGTCCCTCTACTCTCAGACCAATCTACTTTACAGGATTGTCGTTCTGGGGATGAAAGGAAGAGAATCTTTTCCGCCCTGGCCTGTTGCTTTTCAATATCTGATGGACTCAATTTCAGAAGAGATGGACTTTAAAAAAATCAAAGTGATTATAAAAGTCTAGATTTCAAAACAGGACTAGGTGAAAGCCTCAAATTCTCCAGGCTTAACTGGAGCTGTTTCCTTTAGGAAGGCACGAGGGTCAGTGGTTATGGGTAATCCTTGATTTTTGACCACAATTGAGCCCAAATTTTCTGTTGTTAAGTGAGCCGGATGCCCCATTTTAGGACCTTTCTTGCCACAGCTGTGAAGTGAATCACTGCAGTTGTTAAGCTAGTTGCAGGGGTAGGCAACCTTGGCTCTTTTATGACTCGTGGACTTCAACTCCCAGAATTCCTGAGCCAGCATGGCTCAGCTTGGAAACCTCTCCCTTTCCCCTCAGCATGGCTGGCTCAGGAATTCTGGGAGTTGAAGTCCACCAGTCATAAAAGAGCCAAGGTTGCCTACCCCTGAGCTAGTGAAACAGTTGTTAAGCGAATCTGGCTTCCCCATTGACTTTGCGTGTCAAAAGGTCACAAAAGGTGATCCCATGACTCCGGGACACTACAACCATCATAAATACGAGTCAGTTGACAAGAGCCTGAATTTTGATCATGTGACCGTGGGGATGCTGCAACGATGGTCAGTGTAAAGAACAGTCATAAATCACTTTTTTCAGTGCCGTTGTAACTTTGAACGGTCACTAAATAAGGGGTACCTTGCTCAATAGTAGCAACTGTGAAAGGGATCTCGGAGTCCTAGTGGACAATCACTTAAATAGGAGCCAGCCATGTGCTGCAGCTGCCCAAAAAGCCAACACAGTGCTAGGTTGCATTAACAGAGGGATAGAATCAAGATCATGTGAAGTGTTAATACCACTTTACAATGCCTTGGTAAGGCCACACTTGGAATACTGCATCCAGTTTTGGTCACCATGATGTAAAAAAGATGCTGAGACTGTAGAAAGAGTACAGAGAAGAGCAACAAAGATGATTAGGGGACTGGAGGCTAAAACATACAAGGAACGGTTGCTGGAAATTATGTATGTCTAGTTTAATGAAGAGAAGGACGAGGGGGGACATGATAGCAGCATTCCAATATCTCAGGGACTGCCACAAAGAAGAGGGAGTCAAGCTATTCTCCAAAGCGCCTGAAGGCAGGACAAGAAGCAACGGATGGAAACTAATCAAGGAGAGAAGCAACCTAGAACTAAGGAGAAACTTCCTGACAGTTAGAACAATTAACCAGTGGAACACCCTGCCTCCAGAAGCGGTGAATGCTCCAACACTGGAAGTTTTTAAGAAGAGACTGGACAGCCATTTGTCTGAAATGGTATAGGGTTTCCTGCCTGAGCAAGGGGTTGGACTAGATGACCTCCAAGGTCCCTTCCACTTTATTATTGTTATTGTTGTTGTTTCGTTGTTGTTGTTATTGTTGTTGTTGTTGTTGTTATTATTATTATTATTAAATGAATATTGTAAGTCGAGGACTACCTGTAGTGTTGGAACAGGACTGGGAAGACACAGATTATAGTTCACCCTCCACCATGGAAGGTCCTTGGGAGGTTTGGGGCCGACAGGGCAGTGGTTGGGGGATAAAACCGAGGAATATTTGTACCGGAGCAAGGAAGGAGACCAATCTAATATGTAGCACTTTTTAATTTCCTTTTATTCCTTACCTGTCCAGCTGCTGCCACAGGTATTGCATCCTCCAATTCCACCAGGGATTTTCTTTTCTCATTCCACACCTGCTGGATCACCTGGCCAGGCTGTTGCGGCAGAAAACTGAACGTTTTGCCTAGCTCGGTGGAAAATTCTTCGGAGGTGAGTTTATTTTTTGCTGCTGTGCTATAAAGCCCCCCCACAAGCAAAACAAATTGTCCTCTTAAATATCAATCTCAGCAACTTATATCAATCTTCTTCCCACCCTTCCTTTGGCTGGGGAATGCCAGCCTTCCCTCCCCCAAGGGGTCCAATGGCCAGGGCAGGAAGACCCCCAACCTAGCTGGCTGGTGGAGAAGGAACAGAGGAAACTTACCCAAAGAGCCAGGAGAGGGCCTGGAGCGCCTGGCCCAGGTCGGCTGGGGCTACTTCCACGCCGGCCGTATGGCACCTCTTGGGAGAGAAAAGCAGCTGTGGGGCCGGTCCTTCGACAGCCCACCCACCCTCCCACTCCCCACTCTGTCCCGAAGCACCCCGCTCACCTGGCACATCTGGGGGGCATCGAAAGCGACCCTCCCAGATTGCAGCCGCTGCACGGCTCGCTCGCACTGTGGAAAGAAGGCAGATGGAGACCCCTCTGCAGACCCCAAGAAGAGGGAGCGTGGTCCGGGGTGGTGGGGGTCCCGGGGCCCCAAGAGGAAGCTCCAGCCCCACTCCCACCCAGATCCCTGGAAGGAAGGAAGGAAGGAAGGAAGGAAGGAAGGAAGGAAGGAAGGAAGGAAGGAAGGAAGGAAGGAAGGGAGGGATGGAGGGAGGGAAGGGCAGACCCCTGTATAGATATAGGACAGGGGTAGGCAACCTTGGCTCTTTTATGACTCGTGGACTTCAACTCCCAGAATTCCTGAGCCAGCCATGCTAAGGGGAAAGGGAGAGGTTTCCAAGCTGAACCATGCTGGCTCAGGAATTCTGGGAGTTGAAGTCCACGAGTCATAAAAGAGCCAAGGTTGCCTACCCCTGGCTATAGGATCTCCTGCTTGAGCAGGAGGCTGGACTAGAAGACCTCCAAGGTCCCTTCCAGCTCTAGGCTGATTAGGATCCTTCCCTCTCGGCCGGAGGAGGAGGCAAGGACGGGGAGGGGGGGGGAAACCTCACCAGCTCCGCCAGCAGGTCCTGCGGGAGGGTCGCCAGCGCGGCAGCCCCGGCTCCCCTCGCCTCCCCCGGCGCTACGGGCTGCATCACGGAAGCTGCGCAGTGCAGGGAAGCCACCGGATCGAGGCACTTCCTCCCCCCCCCCACAGACACACACGGCGGGAAGGGGCGGGTCTCTCCGCTCGACCCCTCCCACCGGCCCCGCCTCCCCGCGGCTTGGACGAGCCCACGCGGGGAGGGGGGGGGAGACGCCGCCTTCCCCCGAGCCTTGGTACAGGCCGGGGCGGAGCGAGAACCAGTCGAGAAGCCGGCCTGCCATGGACGTTCAGCGCTGGCTGCCGCTGGAGGCGAACCCCGAGGTGGGTGGGTGGGAGGGAGGGAGGGGGCGCGTGGGTAGGTGGGAGGGAAGGCTCGCGTGGGTTGGACGGTCGCCTGTGTCCGGTCCCGGAGTGACCCTCTCCCCCCTCCCTTTTCTGACTTGCAGGTAACGAACCAGGTGAGCTGCTGGACCCTCGACGGTCCGCATCCCCCTCGGGTCGGGAGGGGTCTCCCGGGTATTGGGGGGGAAGCGAGGAAGAGGAGGGCGGCGGAGGCGGCGGGCCATCAGCCCTCCTGCCCGTCTGCCCGTCTGTCTCCCGGCAGTTCCTCCGGCAATTGGGCATCCACGCCAGCTGGCAGTTCGTGGACGTCTATGGGTCCGACCCGGAGCTGCTCGGCTTGGTGCCCCGGCCCGTCTGCGCCCTGATGCTGCTCTTCCCGGTCACCGAGAAGGTAGGTGGAGCCGGGGCTCTTTCCCCGCGGGTAAGGGGCTGCCCCCTTCGAAAGAAGGTCTCCATGCAAGACGTTCAGAATAGAGCTGGGAGGTCATCTAGTCCAACCCCCTGCTCAAGCAGGAGACCCGGAGGACTCCTGATCCCTCCCTCTCTCCCGCACAGCCAGCCAGCCAGCTACCTACCCACCTCGGGGTTCCCCTCCAGCTTCCAAGATGCTGTGCGTTCTGGGAGTTGTAGTTGTAGCCCGGCTACCTCTGGAGCAGTGTTTCTCAACTTTGACAATTTTAAGGCATGTGGACTTCAACTCCCAGAATTCCACAGCCAGCAGTTTCTCAACCTTGACCATTTTAAGGCATGTGGACTTCAACTCCCAGAATTCCACAGCCAGCATTGCTGGCTGTGGAATTCTGGGAGTTGAAGTCCACATGCCTTAAAATGGTCAAGGTTGAGAAACACTGCTCTGGAGGGTGGAAAAATCCACATACTACCGGGTCCTGTAGCCCTCAACTTAACAACTATTCATTTAGTGACCGTTTGAAGTTGCAACGGCACTGGAAAGACTTAGGACCGTTTTTCACACGACCGTTGGTTGCAGTGTCGCTCGGTCACGTGATCGAAATTCAGACGCTTGGACACTGACTCATATTTATGACGGTCGCAGTGTCCTGGGGTCATGGGATCCCCTTTTGCCACCTTCTGACGAGCAAAGTCAATGGGGAAAACCAGATTCACTTCACAACCGTGTTACAACCTGACAGCTGCAGTGATTCAACTGTGGTAAAAAAGGGTGTAAAAATGGGGCAAAAGTCACTGAATGACTGTCCTGCTTAAAAGGTGGGCTAAAAGGTGATCGTAGGTCAAGAAGTGCCTGTGTTTGGACTTTGAAACTTTGTTGTGTGCAGGTCAACCTGCGTGCAAAATAAAGGGGTGTTCCCTCCCCACCTTTAAATCTTCTCTCTTTAAAGCCTTTTCAGCATCTTCAAAGTGATACCGCCCTGGGATATCCTTCCTCCACTGTCCTCTCAAATGTTCTGGGTAATGGGTGGAAGAGTGGCTTTAAAGACTGCTAAGCAGAGGGAAAGGCAAATGTTCATGGCTCACAGCCCTCCATATAAACAGAATTGTTGAAAATGGTCCAGTTTTCTAGCTCTCTGGAAAGTAAAACGATAGTTTTTCTAGCAAGATCACACAACACAAGGAAGGTGGGAGAAATGTGCACTTGGTGTGTGTTTAGGGTGCAAAAACCAAGGGAGGGCATGGCAAGGCCTGCAGAACCTTCCAATTGATAAATTAAAAAAAAAATATTCCTTTTTACGACCCCTGTAATCCCTTAATTCAGGGTAGATTGGATGGAACTGAGCATTTACTGGCCAGATGCCCTTCTGAAGCCACATAGAGTTTGCAGCAGATGTTTTTTCCTTTGTGCCCTAGCTCTACCTAGGATTGAACTCTCAACCTTCCGAGTGGGAAGCGAGCGTCTTCACCACTGGACCACCACATTCTAGTGGATAAATGTCTTAGAACACACTTTTCCCCCCAGGTTTCTGAATGTCTTTTCTTTCTTTGACGAGCGCTGTTTATTTTTTCCAAAATGGACGCTTTGAAAAGGGGAATTTGAAAAAAAAAAGTCTCTTTTTTTCCCTTTCTTGCTGCCTAGTATGAAACATTCCGGATGAAAGAGGAAGAGACGATCAAAGCTAAGGGACAAGAAGTCAAACCGGGTGTCTATTTCATGAAGCAGACCATCAGCAACGCCTGCGGAACCATCGGCCTCATTCATGCCATTGCAAACAACAGGGATAAAATTGACTTTGGTAAAGCTCTCCCTTCTTCCAGGTTACTCTTCAATGGTTGGGAAGATCGGTGGCAACTTTTATGACCCAGGGAAAAGAATTTACAGGGCAGCATATACACATAGTCCTCGACTCACAGCAGTTTATTTAGAGACCATTAGAAGGTACGACAGCACTTGAAAAAAGTGACTTATAACCGTTTTTTCACACTTACGACCGTTGCGGCATCCCCGTGGTCATCTGATCAGAATTCTGATGCTTGGCAACTGACTCATATTTATGACGGTCTCAGTGTCGCCTTTTGCGACCTTCTGACAAGCAATGTCGATGGGGAAGGCCATTCCACTTAACAACCAGGTTACCAACTTAACAACTGCAGTGATTCACTTAACAACTGTGGCAAGAAAGGTTGTAAAATGAGGCAAAACTCAGTTAACAAGACGGTTTGGGCTCAATTGTGGTCGTAAGTTGAGGACTTCCTGCTGACTCAGGAATTCTGGGAGTTGAAGTCCACAAGTCATAAAAGAGCCAACGTTGCCTACTCCTGTCCTATCTTAACCATTTTAATGATGATGATGATATCCATTCAATCATGTCCGACTCTTGGCGATTCTGTGGGCCATGTCTCTCCACATATTCCGATCTTGCACTGCTTCTTTGAGTTTTTATGTTTTCTGGCTGGTGTCCGGCCGCCATGTTGATGGTGTCCGGACGCCATGTTGATGGTGTCCGGACGCCATGTTCTTTGGCGTCCTGGTTTCCTTTTATCGCTCACTTGTCCAAACAGAATTGCTTTCTCCAGTGAATTCCCCCCCTCATGACACGGCCAAAATTAGCGAGACCCAGTTTTGTAATTTCCCACTTTAATGAAAAGTAGCTTATTCATTCTGGTATACATTCCATAGAAACGTCTCCCGGTGTTTATGTTCTGTTTGTCAAGCTGATAAGCTAGAAAATCTCTAGAAACGTCTTGATTTGTAGTGTTACGTGAGTGTTGTTTTCAGTGTCATTTTACCTGCAGTGTAAAAAAGAAACATTGGAAAGCGTTGTGGGTCAATGTTCAACCCGTCCCTTTTAATGTTAATTCTCTTTCTTTGTATTAATGCTGCCTCTTTTAGAAAAAGATTCTTCGCTGAAGAAATTCCTGGACGAGTCGGTGCCGATGAGTCCCGAACAAAGAGCCAAATACCTAGAAACTTATGAAGTGAGTGATGATGTATAATTGGAGGGCAATCTCTCTTCTGTTGCAGACAGTAGTCATTAAATGGGATAGGGCAATCCCAGCCACAATTATAGTAACATTGCTACAATATTTGTCTTCTCAAACTGAACTTTCAAACTATTAAGAGTTCTTTGCCGGTGGAGCTTCACAGTTGCCTGAAAAAGTGAAGGGTTTTTTACTGGGATGTTTTGCTGCATTATATGATACCATCTAATGCAGGTAGTCCTCGACTTACAATTGTTCATTCAGTGACCGTTCAAAATTACAACGTTGCTGGAAAAAAATGACTTGTGACCAGTTTTCACACTTGAAATGACCAATGTATCATCCCCATGGCCATGGGATCTAAACTCAGATGCTTGACAATTGACCCATATTTATGACGGTTTGCAATGTGTCCCGGGGTCACGTGATCACCTTTGGCAACCTCCTAAGAAGCAAAGTCAGTAAGGAATAGCAGTTTGACTAATTTAATAACTGCAGTCATTCCCTTAAAAAACTGCGGCAGGAAAAATCTAAAATGGGGCAGACTCGGTTAACAAATGTTCCCACTTAGCAACAGAAATCTTGGGCTCAATTGTTGTAAGTCGAGGACTGCCTGTGTCATGCCAAGGAGACTGTCATAAAGGCATAGGCTAAAATGTTCAATATTTAGAGGAATACCTG